ATATATATGGGGAGTAATCTTTTGATTTTTATATTCTCACGTGTTTACTGATAGTTTAAATTTTTTTATATATACATATGAGAGTAATTTTTTAATCTTTATATTTTTACTTGTTTGTGGACATTTTAAAATTTTCTATGTATACAGATGAGAATAATCTTTTGATCTTTGTATTCTCGTTCGTTTGTTGACATTTTAAAATTTTTTTATCTATACACATGGAAGTAATCTTTTAATCTTTATATTGCTACGTATTTTTTAATATTTTAAAAATTTGTTATCAATATAAATAGGAATAATCTTTTGATAGTAGTTCATACATATAAATTGTTATGTTCTGTTGTATCGTGTTTAAATAAATAAAATGTTAAATTAAAATAATCTCCCAAACTAGTGATATACAATGAATTTGATAACTAATGATCTGAACTATCATTTATAGCATGTCCATTATCTATATAATGCAAGCACAATGAAATCAGACCATGTACATTTATGTGATTAACATATACAGAAAACACAATCACACTTCACATCTTAAGAAATGCATAGGCAAGACAAACACTATTTACCATTCAAGGTCAGCATAAGATTAGGTTATCTAATCTAAAATAAAATAAATAAAGACTCATAATTAATATAATATGTAGTATGTATGAGTAAAAAGTTACATACCCGGAAAAGGTAAGTGACAAGCATGAAATTAATAATATGTCTTTTTGCATTTTCTTGTCCTGTTTGTATCTATTATAAATATATGATTATATTTATAATGTTATCTTATATTTATTATTAATTATATTGCATTTTAAATATTACTTTAAATTATATTTTGTTTTCATTTAACAATTAGGATTTTCTTAATTAAGTTTTAATTGTTTTGATTAACATTAAAATTAAGAAAATTAAGTCTTGAGTAATGAGATGATGAGTTGCAGTGATCACTGCAAGACGAGCTGCTGATGCATTCTGGATATTGCGGGAGAGAGAAAGCCGACTGGATCTTGTTCTCGCAGACGCCCAGCTGCCCGACATGGACAAATATCAATTTCTTGAAACTATGGCTCGGGTTTCTCAACTCCCAGTTATTAGTCAGTATATATAGCCTTTGATTCATCTTCACACACCCACATATATACCATTATATACATACATCTATATATTTTAATTTCTTGATCATAAATAAATATATGTATATATAGTGATGTCAACGGACCCAGATGAGAATGGCATATTGGGGAGCCTGGACAATGGGGCAGAATTTCACCTGGTGAAGCCACTTACATATGACGATGTAAGAATCCTTTGGCAATTTTCTGTCCTGAGGAAAATAGAGCTCAATAGGTTGCCTTCCTCTTCTTCCTCTTCTGAAAATGGAATGAGCAGCTCTGCCGCTGAATCTCTCGATATTTTCAATAGCATCAGTCTTGAATCTGATGATGACGAGGAGTCTGATGCTAATCAAAGTGGCTCCAAAAGGAAACAGCTTGAAAACTCCTCCAGCAGAAACTCAGATGATAACTCTGATTCATCCATTGTCAAGAAGAACAGGATTGTCTGGACTGATAAGCTGCACAACAAATTCGTGCACGCCGTTGATTTTCTTGGTGCAGAAGGTTAGTACCCACTTCACGTAATTTCTTCATGTATTAATACATATATACATATATGTCTGTCAATTTCCGCCATTGACATTGCTTTCGTAATTGCAGAAGCTTTTTCGAAGAATATTCTTCAGCACATGAACGCACCTGGGTTGAGAAAGGAAGACATTTCAAGCCATTTACAGGTTTTTAATTAAGTCTCATCATATACCTATATGTTTCAAGCCAATTATATATAATAGTAGTATAACACATTCTTAAATATTCTTGAAATTTTTTCTCTTTAGTATAAATCCGTATATATATATATATATATATATATATATATGTATGTATCTGAAAATTAAATATACGCATAGACACACCGCACCCATTTATATCACATGGCCTTTCAAAAAACATATACATATATATTATATGGTGCAAATATATCGACTATGTTTGAAAATGGAACAAGATGAAAAGTTGTAGTCTCACCCAATGTGGGCTTGTACCAGTTTTCTTCAAATCCGATCAACATGGGTGGAGGAGGCATTTATCAATTTCCCGGCTCGCAGAAAGGGATTGCGGTAACTTTCCATCCCGAAATCAATAACATCTTCACAGAGCATAACGTCAGTCCGGCGAACTTGGAGGCTACTACCTCCGTCGGCCAGCTCTTTGGAGCACCAGCTACAAATTTTGATGTCCGTCACTTTTCAAACATGATATCTGGTCATGCTGCTGCTCCTCTCAACTATGGCTATGCGTTGGAGAGTACGGGAAGTGATTATGACAAGAATAAGATTATGATTTACGATAATAATAATAACAATAATAGTACTGGTAGTAATTTGCAGCCTATGAAGGAGAAAGACATGGTCATCGGAGAAACCAGTTATAATAATAATAACATTGGGACCATTAGTGGAGGTTATTATTTGGATGATCAGTTGATTGATGAGTCAACTGACTGGCGAGCATTGCTTGAAAGTGTCATGGGAGAAGAACTAACCCCTGTGCCTCAGCCTCAGCCTGTGGAAGAACAAGTTGCAGCTCAGCCGGCGCCGGCTCCCCAGATTGCTCAGCCCGCAGCGGCGGAAGTGACACCACAGCCATCAAACTTTCAGTATGGGGCGGATGGGTATGGAGGAATTGAGGATCTGTTCAACATGCTGAACGTCACAAGCAATTTCTTCGATTATGATTTCAGTGATATCTTTTAGATTATCTGCAACTTTACAGTTCAAGCGTGAAGATGATGATGATGGTGGTCGGATGGTTGAGATTTATCCATACAGACAGTTATTTGAATTTGCATGTTCGTTTGTGTTTTTAAGTTATTAAGAACTTGTTTTTATCAGTCAGCTTCCAATAATGAGCCCGTTGAGGTGTGACGGGTTGAAACTTTGTTTGGTTTGTTCGAGTTGTATTTGCTTATGTTTATGAACTATTTGCTTGGAAATTTTAAGGTCTTGTTTTTATATAATCTTTTAATATTTTGTGTTATCAAATTTAATATCTGCTTACTGGGGGGTGTGTGTCAGTGTGTGTGTGTGTATATATATATATATGTGTATATAGGCACATGTATATGCGTGATCATTCTCACACTATAAAACGTTTTTGTTTTTTCAAAAAATTCTGTTGGAAAATTAAATTTTTAATTAAAAATGCATGGTAGAATGAATAAGAATTTACATTTATATTAATAAATTTTTAAGTTTATTTTTAATTTTATCAAATTAGTTAAAGTTTAATTAAGAATATAAATTTATTGTTACATATGTATATTATTATTTTATATTTATTATTAAATATTGTATTTAAGTATTAATTTATTTTATCAATTATTATTTAATTGAATTATCAATATCATTATCTGTTCAAATTGCATTATATTTTTATTTAAAATTAATTTTTATTTAATTATTATATATGTATTATCTATTTAATAAATATATTTGAAATTAATGAACTCATTTAAAAGTTTATAGAAGATTCGCCTCTGAAATGAAAAGTATCGGGAGGATTGTCATAAAAATTAGAGATATGGTAGGGGTAATTTCGGAAATTAAAAGTATCAAATAAAACATTTCCGTCTGTTTCTTGTTGCATTTACCACAAACATGACCACTGCAACACCCACACTCTTCCAATCTCTCCCGCCAATTCCACCTCCTACAAATCCGCATACCAGCCATCACCGACCTCCACTACCGGCACTTAGTCAAGTTACCGGAGGGAGAAGACGGAAGTCGTTTCCGTTTGCTCTAGAAGCCAAGATGATTATCACGCCACTATCAAGGCCCTCAATTCCAGAGGTCGCTTTCCGAGAAAATCTCTCAGCCAGGTCCTTCTCATTTCTTTTTCGTTTCCTTGTTTGGTTTCCTGGAAAATAGATTTGGAATAATTCGGACTTTATTAGCTTAGCCTCGTTCGTTGGGGATAATAGTCAAACACTAAGCATGTGTCTGGTTTCGTGTGTTTTTCAGCATTACATGTCGAATTCTGAAATTAACGAGCAGCTTTCTCTTGCGGCTAATGTTAAGCAAGGGATCTGGTGTTAGACATTGGACCTGGAACTGGATCTCTGACCAACGTCCTTATAAATGCTGGTGCTATCGTCCTTGCAATCGAAAAAGGTTGGTTTTATACCGAGGATATCGTCACATATTTTTGTACTTACCAGAATTCTTTCTAGCTAGAGATTATGTATTGTTTTTCTTGTTCTATTCTGGTGTTATTCGGTAGCTACAGAATTATGCACTCTTTGAGTTATGTGCTACGGGATCCACACATGGCTGACCTTGTGAGAGAAAGGTTTGCAGGCATAGACCAGTTCAAGGTATATTTTGTGTTTTTGGTTTGAAATTGCTTTTTGCTATGCTACTCAAGAAATTGCTTGAGCGATAGTTATTACTCAAAAGTTGGATGTGCTGAAACAACCGGTTCCTGGAAGAGAAGAAAAAAGTATTCAAAACCATGAAATATGGCTGGACAAACCTAGAATCTAATTTTGTAGCCATTTACATTTTATCTTTTCCAGATTCTCCTGTTCATTTTGTTTTTTCTTAATGTCCGTTCTCTTGTTACTAATTGTAGGTTTTGCAGGTGGACTTCGCTAAGTGTCACATTCACTCCCACATGATCTCATTGTTGGAAAGTAGAAAGTCTTTAGCTGCAAACTCAAGCCATGCAAAAGTGAGAACTTGACTTCCTTGATGTTATCTATTTTTTTCCTTTATCTTCCTGAATGCGACTAGCGGTTTTGGCCAAGAAGGGGAAACCAAAGGAGCAAGAATTTTTGAAACAATCGAAGATGGTTAATTTGGTTTTAATGGTCCCATGGTCAGTGGTGCTAAGTGCATGCTGTTTTCATATATGTTGACTACAAACCTGAATATGTGCTCAACCTAACTCAATTTTAGATGCAATGCCTTGAGTAACGGATTGCAGTATATGAAAATATTAACTAATTATAATCATGGAGTTGGTTGGTTGAAGCATTTTGTAACCATTTGATGAATGCAAGTTCGAGGGCGTACCATTTACTATATCTGTAACTCGATAAGGTTCTTTTTGTATTTGTATAGTTCAAGTCTAGGTTAACCAACTAGATTGGTATTAAGGCATATGTAAACATCTTTTAAGTGCAATTCCGTGTCGCAATTATTAACCCGAGTTCAACTTTCATACTACCTCTTTTGTCATTAATCCTGAAAATAAATTTTAGTAAATGAGATGCAAATCTAACAAGGTTATTTCATGCTTTCTTGGGATAAATATAACCTTTCTTTGCAGGAACAGCAGTTGTCTTAGCTTTTAGTTACATTGTTGAAAAAACCACTTGGAGTGGAGAAGTAATATTCTTTTTATACATGACAGTGAGCTAATTCCATGGGGCCATTTGGTTCATTAATGCTGGTAACATTAAAAGACAGCATTCAAGTACAAATACGTGCATTTTGTTCTAAAAACCCAGCCTTTTCGAAGGAGGATGGAAAATGTGACAAAAGTTGGCTTTCAAGATATTTATATCTTGGCATTAAGAAACTGGGGGTATTAAGGCCCTTCCTTACTTGCAAATTGCCTCCACCACACCTCATCGTCAATTGATTCAGATATCTGAGTGCCACAGGAACATCTTTACTCTACTGTGACAGGTATGGCATTGCCCTCTCTTTCTCTGTCCTACTCCTTGCTTTTACTCTCTTTTCTCTGTTCATCCGTTTGCCTTGTGGGGTCGTATCCCTGTACCTTTTTAAGTTACCTAGTTGGTTGTGTAACTTAAAACAGCTGATGCTAGGATATTAATTTAGTCTGTTTGAGTTACTTATGATTTTCAAATGAATTCTTGAAAGGATTAGATTAATACACACGAGGCGCTTTTTATATGCATATGAATAACACCCTTATTTTTTTTGTAAAGTTATGTTTATTAATGCTGCATTAGGATGATTATGAGAGTTGTCTTTTCTTTATTTGTGCTTTCATTATGACTCTCTATTCTTTATTTGTGCTTGACATTACTGTTTGTGGTTTGCATTTCCGAACCATGGAGTTATAATTATAACAGTCTTACCTTATAATTTTGCTCTGTTTAGGGATGTTGTTACTAATTTCCAAGCAATTGTGACTATTATGGTATGGTTTATTTCCTTAGGCTATGTTAACCAAATCATAACCATGCTAATGGAGGAAATGATAACTGACTTGAGTTTGATATGGTTGAGTGGCATAACCAACTTATCTTCTTCCTGAATATATCTATGTATATGTATGTATACTGGATTCTTATTGTCTCACTGAAAAAAACATTGTGTTAGTGCTTCTACTGGAAGAACTTCATATCAATGTTAGTTTCTTCTCCCATCAAGCAAAAAGAGAAAATTTTTTTGGATAATGACTATCTACTTTAAAAGAAAGAACTGGTATAAAATCTTGATAGTCAAGAGGTGTAGGTGATTGACTGTGTAAAGATTTGGTCATTTGATATTACTCAGTGTTCCTTGTTTGCCTTGCAGACTTTAAAGGTTTATTATCTTTTTAAACTTCTGTTTTTGGGGCTTTTTTCCTTTTAATGGTTCCATTTGTAATCTTAGGAAAGGATTGCTTATTTTGGTTGAAGGGTTTATGCTGTATTAAAATACTTTCCTTATCCTTGCTAGCATTTAGGAGTCCATGCGAAATAGTTCTTATGTAACGACCCTGGAAATATTAAAATGAAATGAATATTTAAATATATCAAATGCGGAAGCGAGATCAAAATTTCAGTTAACATTCCTTACACGAAAACAAAAAACGTACTTAAAATATAAAAGGTTAAACTAACTAAAAGAGAAACTCGAAAATAAAGCTATGAGTATGACTACAGAGTCTCTAGGCATCCCTTTCGTCGTCCTCCTGCGGAACGGGCTCGGGAACCATGTCTTCCTGATATGAAATGGTTAAATAAGGAGTGAGCTACACTAACCCAGTAAGAACATCACGATATCTCACCGTCACGGAGGTAAAGGTGGGTAGAAAACACAAAGGACCCATGGAGCATGTTTTACAACAAATCCTTTTATTTATGATAAAACCTTTACTATCCACTTATTTCGGTGGAATTTATGAAACAATATAAGAAAAACAATAACATTATCATAATCATGGAATAATATAAGCTGTAAAACATAACACTTATCACGCCTCTTGTAATTCAATCATTATACAACATATCTTTTTCTCATTTACCAGCCTACTAGTATCCGTGGGGGTCTATAGGGGTCCTGCTACCCGTTAACCCTTAACATTCATAATCAGTTTCCAGGGCCGTCCCCATACCCCGTCCGGTATGGCCGCCAAAATCATAAACCTCAATACCCCGTCCGGTATGAGGGTGAAACGGGCCGTCCCCATACCCCGTCCGGTATGGGCGCCAAAACCATAAGATCTCCATACCCCGTCCGGCATGTGAGACCACAATCTCGGTAGGGTTCCCTACGGACCCGGTCCGTCCACCATCTCCCAGGATATCTAGTCAGGCTGACCCCCATAATACAATTATCAGTCTACACAATCTTTCATTTTCCTTTTCCTCAGTCAGCATCATCAATTCACATTTAAACAAGCAAATCGTAATTCATGCCAAACAGACAACATATAGTATCAGTTTTTCAGTCATTCAACCCATAATTAATAAAAACGTAATATATGCACACAATCTGTAAAATGAACACATCAAACCTCATTTTGCATTTAAAGCTGTAAACAGGCCAAATAACAGTAAATCACCAATCACACTAGACTCGGGCTCCATTAGCCACCTTAAGCAATTTCACACATTCGTTAATTCAAGAAATACCGTTTTATCATTTTGAACTTTAATACCGTGATAGGAAATAGGGTGAGGGGTCCTTACTTGTTTTCGGGATTCGAATACGATTCACAGTGCGCCTACAAGCTGTTCCTAATTTTTCCTGAATTTTTTCCGAGGAACTGAAACGCACTAACGGTACCTGCACGTGTTCCAAAAAATCTCAAATTAGGCTCAGGGCCCCTTTTTTGGCCAATATCGCAACTCCGGCGCGGCGATTCGCCTCGGGTTGGCTGTTTTCGGTCGTTTCCGGCCGAATTCGGCCACACTCGCATCGGTCCCTGCGAGAAAACAACCCTAGGGCCCTCGGGGGGCCAAAAAATCACGGAAAAACGGAGCTTACCGGCGGCGGCGCTCTCGGGTGAGGCGGCTCTCCGGTGAGGTTCGTGTTTTGGTGATTCGGCTCCGGTCAACCTGTAGAGAAAAGAATGGTGATCACGGTGATATAAAAATTGCATCAAACGGAGGCCGG